TGGCAGAATAGAATTCTATATGCTGTGATTGAATCTCAATAAATATAATTGTCATTGGATGGTTCTGGAATATTTGCAATTACATCCCGATATTAGATGCCTCTTATAAAATTACAACTTAAATTGTACTTGGAAAAGGTTTTACTAAGATTCTTACCTGATCCTCTTCAAAGTTATTAAACAATTCAAGAACAATGTCTTGCTTTTCTTCAACGTTTCCAAAAATCATCATAGGTGAAAACAGAAAAGTTGTAAGCGTGTGTAACAATGTGCTACGGTAATGTAACATAGCTGATTTACACGTATGCTCTATGAGATGGCCATTGCGGCTCCGTAATTGCGAGCAAACCATGAACATACCTTGAGAGAAAATTAACTTTCGATAGAACATAACATTAAGAATCTTATTTTAAATCGTATATGTGAGAACATAATCAATTTGGAACTAGAAATTAATGCCTATAACGGTCGAAGCTGGATCTTTAATGCTTAAATAATTCAATGTGAATTATATATATACATATACTATATATGTATATGCATATATATCATATTTATATGAATATATTTGTATATACGCATGTACATATACAGTATATATATAATTCATACTGAATTATTTAAACATTAAAGATCCAGCTTATAGGCATTTAATTTCTAGTTCGAATTGATTGAGAACATAACATTTTTACAGAATACAATTGGAAACTTTACCGAGCTCTTTGTTCGCTGTCGATTCTGGCATTTCTAGTTGTAGATTTATTTTGTATGGCTGTCCTATCATCAGGAGTTGCTGCTTCTTGGTCAACTGCACATGAGCTTGCGGAAAGCTACAAATTCCTTTCTTCTCGTTGCATGATCTAAATAAATATGAATAGTAAAGTAATTTAACATAATTCGATTTATTTGCTATCTCAATCATGCATAGACAAACATTAGATGTTGTTAGATACTTTTCTTTATGAATATTAGCTATATGAAAATATATAGTATACTGTGGACTTTGCTCACTCCTTAGACTTTGATATCTTTGAAAAGTACAACCAACACATCTAAGCATTATCACTATCGTCATCATACTTTTAAACTAATACATAAGAATATGTAGAACTTACTTGAATTGCAAATGTACAGGACGCACATATGACATGATGGGCATATAGGAGTAGTAAAAAACCGTGTAAAGAAATATAGACAGCCAGATTATTAAAACAGTGCTAATGATAACAACACCACCACGGAAAACTGTATCTTTCGCAGACTGTATGCTCTGTCTAGTGGTTTTCTGTATATTAAACCATTTTCTACCAATCTTATGTAGTAATCTCGGAATTAACATTTTGCACGATTATTTCCAAAATTGCACAGCTAGATTTACGAGTTAGGAAGACGTCAATTGGATTCGATAACCGATGTTACATAACGATGGATTAAATATTTATTAAATTATTAAATTTTTTTTCTAATTTCACTATTACCTTAATGGCGCATTAGTCGACGTTATTTAAAATCGAAAATTTTTCAGATGGAATCGCGATGGACGAGACGAAGGAAGCGAATGGCGTCGACCGTACTCGGCATTGCCAGATGATAACAGATTGAGTATTTCCGAAACAAAGTAAATATCAACAAGTTGTTTTTGCATCTCTACTTTATGATGCTCAACCATGCTCAACTGATCTGAAAGGTTATGTATAAATAAATGTAAACAATGATGCGAGCACACGAACCGTATTTGCAGGGTGTGATTCTGTAGATGTCGAGAATTCTCATTTAATTTTCTGAATTTTCCTTTTTGGAAAGGAACAGTCTTCATAGATGGCGTCAGTACTTTAGGCTCTTGATGTAATAGTTACTAGCGAAAATAACGAAAAAAATGGTAATATATAGAGCTTATAAAATTGCGAAGTTCAAAATTTGCGTTTGTATCTCCTAATCACGTTGAGTCTTTGATATTTTATTAATTTATGAATTTCTATTCATGTTTGCAATCAAAATTTTCGAGCATAAAGTTTTGAAAAATTTTTTAATTATTAAACGTGAGGATTTCAATTGTCTCCTTTATATTTATCTAATTACATAATGTTGTCGATTTTTGAAAATTTAAATTGAATTTTTTCTCGGTCAGTAATTACAAATTACTATCGTAATTACTATAACCGATAATTTATGTATAGTCGATAATATTCCTGTCAACTTTACCGATCATAGATAATTATCGACATTGTTTGTAGTTACTGACGATAAGAAATTTTTCAAACAATATAATTTTATATTAACTTTTAAAATAAATAAATAAATATCTTTTTTTTTATAGAATATATATAAATGATTTTAAATTTCCAGAAATATTTGTCAATTTTACTTTATGTTCTAATAATATCGAGAACTAAGCCATAAAATTTAAATTTGCGATTACTTTATTTCGGTTTAACGGAACATTTATCGAAATATATTCTTCCAGTAACTTTGATGAGATTTTTCAAATATTGTATTTGAAGTTTAATTTCGGATATATCCATCAATATATTTAAATCTATTAAGCCTATACCGGTCGAAGCTAGATCTTAAATGCTTAAATAATTCATTCTTGAATCACTAAATATATATGTACTTGACATATATACTACACTTGTAGTCTTAACGAACTGCGAGCCGAAATATTTCCGGACTAAACGCAATTAAACCACTATAGTAATTTCGCGAATTAAATTAAATTCTAATAATTTCGATGCTCAAATAGGCATCATATTTCAAAGATGTTAATATGCTGAAAAAACCGTAATTAAATTTATTACGAAAAATATTACCTCGGCCGGAAGTCGAACCCGGATCTTTTGTATTCCGTACGAGCGTCCTAAGCCATTAGACTACCGAGGCTAGTACCTCGGCCGGAAGTCGAACCCGGATCTCTTGTATTCCGTACGAGCGTCCTAAGCCGTTAGACTACCGAGGCGTTAGTAATATTCTTCGCAATAATCGATATATGTAAGGAAACAACATCTTTTTCGGGCGACGTAATAAACAATAATAATCTTATTTTTAGATCGTAAGGGAGACCGGGGATAGTAGACTCATTTTTCAGTTTCGAATTTTTATAGACGAAATTAAGAGACTTATCGAAAAAATGAATTCTACACCAGTTACTACATACAT